TCCGCCGGCGATTGGTCGCACGGTGTCTCACAATGCCGCGGCACAGGCATGGCAATTTTCCAACCGCGGGAATTAATTTCCGCGCCCGTCTCGTCCAACTTCGCTTCACGCGCGCCCATATATGCGGGCGTTAAAGCGTCGTCCTCTCTTCCCACGATTTCTCTCGCGCCGTTTATTTGCGGGGGAAGAGGGAAGGGGGATAGAAGAAGGGAGGTACGTCGCGCGAAGAGCATGTTTCGAGAGAGAGAGCCCCCCGGTACCTCATGCACGAATTTTCGGCCGATTTCATCCTGTAACGCCGAACGTGCTAAAAATTCCAACGGAGTACGATGGGAAAATTCCCTTCATCGCGTTAATCCATTTTGTTGGCCGGCACCGCCGCCGCCGCCGCGCCGCCGCGATTTCGGAGCTACTCGAAAATTCCGGGCAGTCGTGAAATCCGCGAGGTTTTAACTTCGTGGAAAAGAAAACCCCGACTTAAAAAAAAAAATGCCCCGAAAAATGATATTTTCTGAAATTTTATCTTTGCGCACTTTCATCAATACGAGCGGCTATCTTTTGGAACGGTGAAAAAAAATACAGATAGAGCGAGAACAATTCTTGGAATATTCTTTCAATGTATCCTGGATTGATGAAGCACGGACTTTCGTACTCCGCTTCGTTCAACCGCTTCTTCAGAATCGAAGAAGTTTAGATCGCGACGCAAAGGGCGGAATGGTTTCAGGCCGCGAGCATCACAATCAGAATTCGTCGCGGTGCTAGCACGTACGAAATTGCAGAATCCGCCAGATGAGTGGCGTGCGACGCTACGCATCCAGATTCCTTCTTCTCTCCGGGAAAATCACCTTCCCGTATCGAAGTTGCATTAAAACCTGTAGAAGTGAGCGGGCCGATTACTTTGGAGCCTTTTATGCAGATTGAAATAGCAATAGCATATCAAAACTAATCAAAACTAATCACGATATGAATCAATAGTAAACTTTCTACTGGCCACGAAAATATTATAACGATAATACTCAGAATTAATTAATTATTAATATTATATTGATTAATATAATTGATTATTATTATTATTATATAAAATCCCTTAAAACAATAAAACAGAAACAAAATAGAAACATAAATTTTATTATACAAAAAGTTTTAATCACACACGTTTGAATTACTTAACGTTGTTTTTTTATATACTTTTTTTACATTTGGAGAGATCATTCGCATCTTCCCTTCTTATTTGTTTTCATTAGCGCCGCAGTTTCTTCGGCACAGTCAAGTATTGCCTTGCAAAATAAATGATACATCTGTTATTCATCGCGTGTCACGTAGAAAAGCGCAGCATCCACGACACGTGCCGAACAGTCCCGAGTCTTGACTTTCATAGATATCCTTTTTCCTTCTTTGCGTTTCCTGCCGGGAATACTGATCGAAATTATGTTAGAAATCTCACGTACTCGAAGGCCGAATTGTAACGTGAATTAAATTACATCTCTAGCTATTAGAAAAATTTATCTGCAATCAATACAGAATCAATAGCTTGAAAAGCGGATATTATTCTATATAAATTGGTAGAATCAAAAAGAAGACTTCATATAACTTTCTGGAAATAAATAGCTTCTTTAAAAGAATATTGTTATTATCATACACATATTATAGCAGTTATTACAAAATTATATTTTATTAATATTTTTATCGAGAAAAGTAGTCATAAAAAAATTTGCCATATCGTGTCGTTTTACTCACGTAGCGGTAGTCATATTCCATTCGCAGCCGGCACGATAAATTTCAAGGAGGACATAAAGTAATATAAATATAAGTCCATAGAGGAATTTGTTATAATTCTCAGTCGCGATCGTATTTCGGAGAGAGGCTGAAATTCTCAACATCCCGACATGCGACATATTTGCAATTTTAAAACGGTTTTATCCCACGTCACGCACGAATGCCGTGCGAGGGCCATGATGCGTAGCGGAGGACTCGCCGTGAATATCCCTTCCCGCCCTTTTTATTCGCTACCGGGAATATTGACGTTATATTAAATCTCGCGGAGTCGGGAAAGTGATTTATCGGTGAGCTACGGCGAGAGGAAGAGCCGGTGAGGCTATATAGGCAGGCGGAAGAGCGGAGGGCTTCCAGACGGGAGAGAACCTCGTAAATTCTTCCAATCACCGACAAATGTTACCAATTCCAAGACGTACGGCGCTGCTGGAAAGCTGAGAGCACCGCCAGTGTACCTTCGCCGTCGTGTCTAAGCTTTAATAATAAAACAGTCCAAGTACAAGGCGTCAAGCGTCAAGATTAATCAATTGGTCGATCCCGCCATTCAAAGATTCCTTTAGAGCTGCGTGTACCATTCGGATCGCATTTTTAAATTTTACTTCCTAATCAAACTGTCCGTCCGTCGGATCGCGAAGAAGATATAAATAGAGTAACGAGATGTAACTTGATGAAAAAGTGGGCAATTTTCTTTTGTCACATACTATATAAAATATTCTATAGATCAGATTTCTGATGATAAAATAATGATGTAATCACATATTATATGTTGCTTTTCGAACTTGAGACGATTTTTATTACGGAAAATAAAATAATTCGTAAAGTACTGAATTTTATATAAAGTGGCAAATAATGAATCAAGAGTCTGCTATCAATTAATACAATAGGATGTCCAGGGAATACTCACATATATACACATATCCAACATTAAATTTAAGACGTAAAGCAAAAGAATTGAGATAACTTCTGCTCAAAAATTTTAATAGAAAGGTTTTATTTTTAAGATCAAGTTATTACCGCGAATGGAGAGAAAAGTTAAATATTTTTATTATTATTATTTTTATAAATTGCGAAATTTCAGATAGCCACTTACAATTAAAGTCAGCGCGTAATAAGTTTATACGTTATATATACGTATATATACAGGTTTGTGTACGTATAATGTATACGTGTGTTGCCAAATTAATGAATTAACACACATATTTCTTTTTTGACGCTATTTGTTTCATTTGATTTACATCGATATTTCTCAATGTTTATTACAGACAAGACATTTACATATAGAAGATAACATAGATTAGACAGAAGAAAAAAAGCATTCGAATATTCATTACGATTATACTGACAATAAGAACATTTGGTTTACTGGGATTTCTTCTCGTACAATAAATGGCATCGTCGTCGTAGTTATGTTCTTCTTATACAGATCTCAAAAGACTGAAATCAAAGAAGATAAAATAAAATTTGTAAGATAAAATTATAAGAAAAAATATATCCAAAGTTTAAGAGAAAACGTGAGAAATCATTATGTTATGTTTTATATAATGTAATATAATAAACATTCAAAATATTTATAAAGAACGATAATTTATTTTATTGGATATTGAAACAAGATTCGTTGAAAAAGTGCTTTTGGAGGGATATATATTTATTATATACAGACACTCGCAGATGTTATTGATACAAATTTTGATAAAAATTGCGACTAACAAAAGATCGACCAATGTTTTTTCTCATTCGATAAATGTCATTCTAATAAAGAAGAATTTATAATAATTTTCTCTAGTTAATTCACACATATCGTTTTAGTTTTGATACTTTGCAAACATTTTACCTTTCTTAGCCTTGCTGATGTTTTGTCGCATTTATCGCTCGGTCCATTAGTTTGCTAATCATTTCTATCGGGCCTTCATAATTAGGAATCTGAGACAGGAGAAGTCCAATTTGCGGATCAGCTGCACTTCTAGCGATAACTTCACTAGGGATAATTCCCAGGATCAAAATCACTCCAAGGGCAAACAGAAGTACCTTCATGTTTCTGATTGTTAACGTAACGATCGCAAGCAAACGATATAGAAGCAGATCAATGTCTCGTCAGAGCTACAACTGTGGATTGAAGAAACGATGTGGCGTATATATACGACAGAAAGTCGATCACCAGTTAAAATTGTCAGAATAGGGACGACCAATAGCACGACGCCTAATACCGGTCCTAATACCGGTAGTAGTGATTTGTCCGATTCGTCGAAAGACAAAATGTAGAATTCCTGAAAAAGATAAAACGTAAAGCTCTTGCCCTACGTATATGCGAAGGACGAAATCCATTTAGATATGAGTGAATCTTGAAACGTGTTTTTTCTAATAATATGGTATTGAAACTGAACAACATTTTTGAAACTTACTAAGAACCTTTCTCCTTCTTTTATTTTCATGTCTAAATGGATCCAGTCCTCTTTGCATACCGACTTTTACCTTCTTTTTATTTTCTCTAGGAATTCTAGATTTTTTCTTTCACTTTATTACATTATTTATTATATTTTTATAAGTATATATTTATAATTGCATTTTTTTGTGTTAAGACACGTTGTGTTATTGATTGTGTTATCGGCGCAAGGGTTCGCCGTTCTGTAAATCATAAGGAATCCAACAAGGAAACCACCAGTTCGGACTTTACAATACATAGTAATATAATCTTCAGTCATTTCAAATCGTTAAATTTCTATTTGTTTTATTTACAATTTCTTTTTAGTATTCTTACAATAGATATACGCGCGGACATATGCACGCGATTAAATATCAAACATTCGACTATAACATTTTATTAATCAGCTTGTTAATATCAGCTAATTACCGTTTCTGTAATATGTCAAAGAGAATAAGATTGTAGGAATAGAGGGAAAATCGATAATAGATAAGTAATTGATGTAATTATGAATTTGACTACATAAATTCCATATCAATGTTTAGTCTTATAATGCTAAAATAACTCGGTAACCTTGGCATTTTACAAGAATACTTTTTATTCTACAGTATAAATTAAAATCAATGTTAAAAATTAACATATATTAAGAGTGCTAATATTTTAAGAGGTAAGAGAAACTATTTGTATATTTCGTGTACTTTAAGGCTTGAAGAATATGTTTCCTAAAAATTTAAATTTAAAAATACTAGTTAAATTACATGCCTCTAAAGAGCGCGCAAGTAAAAAATATAGTATGTGACATATTTTCGATATAAATATATAAAAAAAACCTTAAATAAACATCTAGCCCTTAGCTCGAATATAATTAATTTTTTTCTGCTATAGAATTCCTATAACAAGTCATACATTTTCGGGAAAGAATTCTTCGTAATTAGATTGAGTTATGTTGTTAAACATGTTGATATATATTTCGGAAAATTTCCTGTCCATTGCTGGTTTAACAGTGTTAATAATAATATCTTTATTCTCGTCGAGAAAAGCTCCAAAAATTTCATTTAATTGACCTAATTTTTTCTCGTTTCCGAACTGATATTCAAAATCTCTAACCTTGGAATTCACGGTTGCTTTCGATGCGTATATATGTTTTTTACCATTTTTGGTTACCGTTTTCAAGTCCAATTTTATGTTTGCTTCCACATTATCTGCAAAAAACACACATTTTGATAAATTTAAATAAAATCTAATTTTGAATCTTTTATGCTAAATTTCATTGAAACTTTTGTTTTACTTTAATATAAGATCAATTATTTTACATACCCGTAGTAATGAGTATAATTCCTTTGTGAGCGACTGGTACTAGCAGACGTATATTAAAATCGTACGTAGTGTTTATGACATATCGCTTCATTAGATAATTAAAATTAAAGTGGAGCCTTTCGGGGTCTACATTAATGGAGGTTATAACAAAGTCGCAAGTTCCATATACCTCTGCGTTTTGAACATACAGTTTGACATTAGGTTCGTCGAAAATAGTAATTTTATCTAACATTATTCGCTCAATCATTGGAAAACCCGCCGGAGAAGTCCCGTAGCAAAATTTGTCCTTCAAATAGATAATGTTGTCCACGATGCACTGATTATAGTTGGGATCGTTGCGGCCACATACATGATCAATGAAGGAAGCTGTTAAGTTATTTTCATTAATTTGCAACTATAAAATTAAACAATCTAAGATAAAAGAAGTTTAATGTAATTAACTATTTCAAAAATGTTATAAAAGCATTTAACATAATAATAAAGAGATAACGAGCATCTAGAACATATACATATGTATAACATATAAACTGTAGTTTCATTACTTGTATATTTTGAGGGAGAACAATGAAGATTCTAAATTAATAAGATCCTAATTTTTTTAAATAATTTATCAATTTCGTAAATCGTTGTATAAAAAAGACAGAAGTTTAGTTGTTAAACTAATCAGATTTTTACATTTAATATTTACTTACGTACGTCCGCTACAGTTATAGCAACACATGTTGCTATAACTGTAAAAGAAAAGATTGCATTAAACATTATCCAATTTAAAAGAGTTTTTCTTACAAACTTTCCAACACTTCACTGTCAGAGAAATAGCCCTAGCAATTGTACGATATGATGTGTATCAAGATGTGTATCAAGACTGATGCCTGTGAATTGATCAAGCGTATATATAGGCATCTGGTCTCTCATCTCATTTATTTTCATGTTTCTGTTTCTGTTTAATAAACAGTCTTTTTTCACCCTCTGATTTATAAAACTTCGGCCTTCTTTACATTTAAATGGAGTTTCGACGAATATCTTAAATAATTAATTCAGACCGTAACTTTATACAGAAAAGGTTAATTTTTCTTGTAAAAAAACTTGGCGCTGCTTTTTTATAAAAAAAACAATGAACATAATTTAGGGGACAATGCGACAGGAGTAAAAAAGCAGCGCCCAGTTTTTTACAAGAAAAATTTATTTATTTTATTTTAATTAAATATTTTTATTTTGTACTGTTATCTCTTTAATTCTTTGTGATTAAAATAATTCTTTGTAATATTATAATCTTTGCAATTAACGCAATTTAAAGATTTCACATCTTTGTTGAAATACATTACACTTGGGTTGAGTTAGATAACGCAATTTTGTGAATTATTTTGTTAGGGAGAAATAAAGTTACTATATTAGGACATATCACTTGGGTTGAGTTAGGTAACGCAATTTTGTGAATTTACTGGTTCAACCTTATATAGGCAATTATATCTTTTGAATTGCTATCTACGACATTACTAAGAGTTTGATGCAGTTGAACTAATTCCTTTTCGCTTTCATCAAACTTATAATTTAATAATGAGATTTTGACTTTCGTGTTTACTTTCGAGACATATATCTCCTTTTTGCCGCCATTGGTTGCCACTTTTAAATCCATGTTTACTTTTATCAGTACGTTATCTGAAGAAAAATAAACATTTTGATAATTTAAAACTAGGTTCAGCCATTAACCCTCCGTCACACCTATTTTTTCAAACAAGGAAGTCACTCTGGGTCATTTTAACCCGAGACGAACTTTGATCGTTCACCATTTGACCATTTATCCACCGATCGTGTTGAAAAAATTCTCGAATGCACTTGCGATATTGCTAAATTGATTGCTATAAAAAAAGAAGTGCCTCAGGGATTTTTAACATATAAAAAAAATTCGCGAAAATTTTGTTTTCTTTTAATTTTTTTTTGAAAAAACTTACTACAGTTAGAGGGCGTCATGCCCGCCAAATTTCAAATTACGCGCAAGATATTTACGAGCAAAGTTGAGGCTCGGGTCAAATTGACCCAGTGTGACTAAGGAGGGTTAATGAGATACAGAAATGTGAGCCGGGTTCATAATGAAAAATCTCGCGTATATATTAGAATTCCTGTATATATCGAAAAGAAGTTGAGCAAACCATTAAAACTTGGCTGAGATGTGCAAAAGAAAAGGCAGGGAAAGAAGCAATATAAAATAAAATATTCTTCATTGTAAACATTTGCATTTGCACATGCAATTTGTAAATTTATTTCACTTTTGCTCATTTTGAGTCATTTTTGTTTTTAAAACAACGCAAAAGTGTGAATTTGGAGTAAAATTTCTAGAAAATGTGTAAAATTTTTTTTACTACATTTGAGTGAACACCTTTATTGAAATTTCCACATTAGTTTTTATAACTATTTTAAACAAATTCCTGTTTTCTTTAATTAATTTGCAATATGCGCGTGCAATACGTTTAACAATGTGTGGATGTGTGTGTGTGGATACATACATATATATACTAAAAAATTTACTAGAAATCTCTGAATAAACTTTAAACTTCTGATTAAACTTTAATTTAACTCTCGTACCTCTTTAATTATTTATCGCGCAGACTGACAGCGAATATTACTCATACCCGTTTGATCGTGAAACTGTTCGCCGTGTTCGTCCTCTCCTCTCTTTTATTTCTGCGGGATTGATGTCCTGTCGCTGGATCGGATTGTCTGAGAGTTTCGCCATTCCTTGGTCAGCGTTTCCTGCAGTATCGGAACGAGATTGCATCGGTCAGATTCTGAATACCGACTATGCAACTGGATCGTGTTTTGATGCATTTTCCGCGTTACTTATTATTAATTACGCTTTTGCTAAATTCGCTCGCTCAATCGAATAATCGGGTCACACAACAGTTGTTAATTTATTTTATTATATTTATATATTTTATATTTTATTTTATTTTATTTTGTTTATATTTTGTTTATATTTTATTCTAAGCGAAAATCCATCTTGAGATAAGTTTTTTTGTTCTCGTCAGCAATTCGTAGTAAATACACTTCAGTTCAGCGCGTTGTATATTAGATGATTTATTTATATATATGTCGCAGAGAGAATCATTGAAATTTTATTAAAATTTTAATTTTAATGGTAAACAAATGATTCATGAAAAAGGAAAACAACAAGTTGCTGAAGGCAATTTTGTATGGAGTTATAAATGGTTTTTTTTTTTTCAAGAAACATTTATTTCCATGGCAATTACAATTTCTGACGATATTTTAATGAATGATTCACTTTTCGTGTGGTATACTCCGCTTTCAATTCACAGCCGTAATACTAAAAAGAATCCGATTCGGAGCAATATTACTTGTTTGCGATCGTTATAACGATAATATATTAACAATTACGAACAGAAAGATACTTTTGCTTGTATTCGGAATGTGTGTATGTGATCTTGTCTCTAGGAATTATTATCCATACTGGAGTTATCGTTAAAAATGTCCATTCAAAAATGAGAATTCAGATACTAATTCACTTGATAAGGACCAGAATGTGGTCGAAACGTTGTGAAGAATAAAATTGTTTTTGGCCAGTTCGGTCGAGAAAAACGACTTTTATTTTAAAAATGATCAATTTGAAATTTCACCTTAAGCCCCATAAGAGCGACATAATTTTTCTTGTATTTTTACATTTTTGTTAATTGTGTTTATACTGTTACAATAAGTCCGATGCATTTATATATATAAGTTGTGATATTATCTGATAGTTTTTATATTATTAAACAATGTTTCCAATATAATAATATTACAAAAATAATTATTTCTTTGGAAATTAGCTGTCCAAGTATACGTTTGATAATCGTAGTAGTTGGACACACGCAACGCTCGTGTTAGTCCAACTTCAGATCATAGGCACTGATATATCAATGCAGTACTTGGACACGTTTCTCCGGGATTTTGTTTGTACAATTTTTAGTAAAAAATGTTTACAAAAAGTGTTCTCTAATAACTATTAGTGTTGTGGAATATTTAATATTTACTTACGGACTGAAAAAAAAACATCAAGAAAAAAAATTTCGCACCTTCGTACCAAATAACCTCAAAATCCAGAACTTGACTTGGCAAGCATTTGGTAGTCAGGATGGCTAGGAAGAAAATTAATGAGAAAACTGTAAAAGAGACTGCTAAGAAGAAGAAGAAGAGTGCAAGTGGTCAGTATCATAGAGCTGTAGCTAAAAAGAAGAGAAGTGAAAAAAATTACAGTGTTGAAACTCTTCAAGCTGCTCTCAATGCAACGAGCGAAGGGCTGACTCTCCGCCAAGCTGCTCACAGTTTTGGAGTACCAAAGAGTACTCTTTTTTTTAAATTAAAGTATAACTCACCACTTGAGTGTAGGAAGGGACCAAAAACTGTCTTGAGTGCGAAAGAAGAAAATGAAATTGCAAGTTGGATAGTGTTCTGTGCAGATAGTGGTTTTCCTGTGAATAAAACAAAACTCCTTGACTGCGTACAAAAATATTTCAATAATAACAAAGCTAAGACTCCTTTCAAGAACAATCGTCCTGGGCAACACTGGTATCGAGCTTTTATGAACAGACATCCAAATCTGAGTACCAGAATAGCACAAAATCTGACTTCTACCAGAGCAGCCGTCACTGAAGTAGACCTTCGAAACTGGTTTGCAAAAGTCAAACAATACCTTGACACAAAAAACTTGCTGCATATAGAACCACACCGAGTATTCAACTTGGACGAGTCTGCGTTTATGCTTGTTCCTAAGGACAACAAAGTGATAACAGAGAAAGGTGTTAAGGCTCCATATCAAATAGTGTCCGGTAACGAGAAAGCCAGTTTAACAATATTATTTACTGTTGCTGCTTCTGGAGTAATGCCACCTCCCATGATTTTATTTGATCTGAAAACGTCGCCAAAGAAGAATGTTTTGGACCAAATACCAAAAGGCTGGGGAGTAGGAAACACGGAACGTGGCTGGATGACAGGTGAAAGCTTTTACAGTTATATAAGTAATGTATTTTACAAATGGCTACAAGAGAACAATTACGTGTTTCCTATCATCTTATATGTAGACGGACATAGCTCACATATGACGCTACCACTACTTAAGTTCTGCAAAGAGCATCTTATAGAACTAGTAGTGCTCTATCCAAATGCCACACACATCATACAACCATTAGATGTTGCTGTCTTCCATCCACTGAAGGATTCTTATAGAAAAGTGTTACGTCAATGGAGAATTGACAATAATGTTGTTGAGGTTAAGAAACATATGTTTGCTCCAGTTTTAAAAATGGCCTTGGAATCGTATGATCTCACTGACGCTGTTAAAAATGGTTTTAGAGCCTGTGGCTTATATCCATTCAACGCTGATGCAGTTAACTATAATGTTTTAAGCAAGAAGAGTAAGAAGAAAGACGCAAGCATTAATCTACATTCAACCAACAATTCAGATCAAGACAGTATCATAAAGAATACAGAACTTTTAGCTATGTTTGAAAAAAATGTTATTTCTCCGGATATCGTAGAGTCTTTCAAACAAGCTGAATCAGAAAACAAATGGAATGGTGATGTAAAATATCTGGCATTATATGAATCTTGGCTTAAGCTGAAAAAACTATGTAGTGGTGAGTAAGCTTTTTTAATTATCTATATGTATATATACAGCATCTAATTTGATTTTCTATTTGTATAGAAATGCATGATGTACCTTCAAATGAAGCTCTAACAGTTGAAAATTCATTACCAGCTGATCAACCAATACCAAATGCTGATTTGATTGGTATGGCAACTAATAACGCATCCGGAGCAACTGATGAAATCATGCTTGATGCTTCAAGTCATTCCGACAACCAGCTGGACTTGTCTGTTATCAACGTAGCGGATGAAAACTCATTGGACATGAGTTATGCTATAACTCCAAGCATCGAACAAAATACTCTAGCAGAATTGCCAGTAGCAGAGTTAATTGAGTTGTACGATGAACTGGGCAATCGTGTAACAGCCACAGTTATAGCAATAAATGATGATGTGACTATGAGCAACGACAGCTCCCCAAGTAACGCAGATACCAGAGGTCTGTTCAATTTTGTTTATAATAAATTATATAATAATAATAATAATAATAATTATATAATAAATTATAAGTATACTAAGTAAATATCTCTTTCTAGTTGACAGTCAACTTGTACCGGAAGAAAAAAATAAAGATGACTTGGATAAGACTGACAGTGAAGAGTTTAATAGTGACTTGAATAGAGAATCAAGTAGTTCTCATTGTTTGAATATATCAAACAAAGGTTTGTAAAAATTTATTTTTGTAAAAAGATATATTGTATACATAATTATTTTCTAATAAAAACTTTCTTATTTATAGATGACGTTCTGGATTTCACGATAACTTCCGAAGGTACCAATGAGTCTGAGAATACTGTAAATACAGAGCAAGAAGACTCTCATGATTCTGTTAAAGCTCCTGTACAGACTGATACCTTAGAAAAAACTAGTCCTGTGTTTGGAACTTCTGTATTAAGCAAACACAATTCTATAAATGTCATAAATGACAATAACAGTCACCTAAGCATCGACGAAGAATCTAACTCAAGTACTTGTGAGTATTTTTAAAGCATTTTCAATTTTTTAATCGAAAATTGCATTTAATTACATTTTTTTTTCTCATTTCAGGTGGAAGTAAAAATGATATACAAATATCACCTAAGCTACAAGAATTTTTCCCTGTACCTACGTTTACGAAGAAGAGAAAAAAAAGTACTTCTAAAAATACCCCAACTGTGGCTGTTGTTGACGACCTGTTGATAGCGATGCAACAGAAAGAAGCAGAAAAAAAAGAAAAAGGGCAACAAATTTTATTGAACAAACAAGAAAGGGAAAAGGCAAAAACAATAAGAGACAAAGAAACAACTATTGTGAAGCAATATAATGAAAATAAGAAGAAAAAAATACAAAAGAAGAAAGAACTTAAATTACAAATACAGAATTTGAAGAAGACAATCAAATCGGAAAACAGCAAAGAAAATGTTGGTCCCTTAACAGAGCGGCTCCAGAAAGTGAATGCCGAATTAGCTGAATTGGAAAATTCATTAATTCTAGAGGAAATGGAGTTTTTACAAACAAAAATTAAAATGAAAAAAGAAAAATGTGATTCCACTGTATGAAATGTTATTTTTATTAATGTAACGTAACTTCTTTATTGTTCTTAAGTGCATTATTTTTGTACTAAAATAATAAAATTTAAAAAAGAAATGAATACTAGAATGTATGTGCATTTATCACTTCTATTTCTATTATTTTATCATTATTATCAACTTCATTTACCTAATTGATATCCCGTATTAAAGTATTGTACAACTATTAGGTTCGAATGTGTCCAAGTATTGGACACATTGTCCAACTTATGGGTTCTAAAGTGTCCAAGTACTACGTCAACTATAAATGGTTGTCCAACTACTACAGTATATAACCACGTTTTAAAATCAAGTTTAATTAATGTTTAAAAGCTCTATTTAAACTATTTTTTTTTTAAATTGTCTCTTAAATATGCAAATTATATGTGGGAATCGAAAAAATATTAAATTAACGATATTTTGGCTTTGAAATAACGAGGTGAAATTTTTTTTCAAAAAATCTGTCCAAGTATTGGGCATTTTACCTTATTTCTCTATTCCATAAGAATTGGCAATAAATTCGAAATTACACTTAGATAGCATTTCAATGGATCTTTATCTAAGCGCTATTTCAAATTCATATTCATTGTGATTTTTTATAAACCAAAAAAAGAAATTTCTTTTGTATCTGAGGAAGAATAAGAAAGAATCTTTTATGATTTTCCAAAAACAATTTCTGCATCAGAAAGAACATAAAATATACTGATGCGTTTTGCCATCTCTATTATACACTGTGCGATATCGGAGGTATAATTAAGCAGATTCGAAAAATATTAGAACTGCAAAAAACGAAGCTAGGATGGATAGTGGCGGGAAATGCGCCCATTCCGGATGACCGGACGAATCGGTCGAATGTGGCGTTATGTGCGATCGTCAAGGAACCAGATTTGTATCAGCAGATGGAGCCCTTTTGGATCGTGGAAGAAGGCTCTCTGCAGTCGGTAATAATCTAACAATAAGCCAGTTCAATGATAAAGGGGAAACAATATTGAAGACGTAGTTTCCATTATGAAATCGCCGATAAATTTTACAACTGTTTCTGGGGTATTGCAACTCTTGCATCTGACCTGCGATAAGATATTTAATCCTCCGAGGCCACACCTCTTTTTTTAATACACCCCGGCCACACTGGGGTGGTCGCCACCCAGACGGATTCGAAGTCTCATAGTTCTAATTAATGCACGTAAAAATTCATCTTAAGGGTGTTGTTTAAAAATATGTATAGTGCAAAACCCGATGTGCTCAATGAACAAAAATATTGTAATTTTTGGTCGCGATAAAAAACATACACCGAGGTCACACTTGGATGCGGTAACCACCCCTATAATAAAATTTTTAAATGTTTACCAGACGTAACTGATGTGGCTGAAAGCCTTTCTACTACACGGATCTTCGAGAAAGGGATCCAACTAGGGATCCTGAGTGGAGGGACACTGATTATAGAACCTATTTTTAAAATATCGGGCCCTGAATTTTTGTCAGGGTGGCCGCCATCCAGTGTGCGGCCTCGAAGGGTTAAGGAAAAGATCTCGACTTACTCGAAATTAACGTAGAATATTCCTAATAATGTGTAAAATGTGTAAAATCCGCGATTTGAAAAATGATTACTTTCCAGCTGACATATCGTTTTTCTGAATTTTATGCGAAGCATGGAATTTCTTCGAGAATATTTCGGTATAAGCGCGAACAAATTTATGTCTTATCGATAGCGAACACGAGATAGATGTCTCGCGGCTTTCGCAGACGTATGGAGCCATTCTGATTGCGAGCGTTATCGTTTCGTTACATCAGAGAACGAGCAATTTCGATATCGTATATTTTTGTATTCTCGGCAACGTGTCGGCGGAGTTACTTTCGAGTGCGCCGATACGATAATACTCGATGCATCTTTAACGTATCTCGTTATTACAACACGAAGGACTACAACGGAATTGCAGTCTGGGGGCGCAAAAACTTCGAGATTGTTTTTTTTTTAAAGCAGCGATACGAAATATACGGAAACATTTTTCAAGCGGAAAGTTCTGTCGTCACGCTGGCTATTTTGAATAATTTCACGCAAATCGTATTTCGTAACTTTTTACGAGATGATGCCCATATAACTTTCCCCGCCGATATCACGCGCGAAATAAATTGCAGCCGATGCCGTTACCGGCTTGTGCATTCGTATATTCTGTTAATAGGAAATTCTGGAAATTTCATTTTTTATTCAACAAAGATTGATAACCGCAAAATCCGAACGAATTTATTACAAGAAATGTAACGGTAATTTTGTCTTCTCTATTTTCCTTTCTTTGTATACCATGCTGTATTCTGTTTCTTCGGTTACGATAGAAATTAATAAAATCCTATCGCGAGATTCTTAAAGAATTAATGATAGTCCAGCGGTAAAAGTTTACTACATAAAATAATAATGTTCATTTTAATTTATTTTGAATACGTAATATACCCGCGTATCTCTATTTCGACTTTAACAAATTACTCCTCGACCTTTGTCTTTCGGTGAACGCGCCGTACATGTACAAGTTAATTAGCCCGTAGAGACATTCGCCGCGGGACAAACGCGAGCACGCTGCACTTTCTTGCATCCTCCTCTATTCCTCATCCTCGCGCTCACCTGTTTCTCCTCGCGTGCTATTGGATTAATTCGCGCGCCCAGCTTTGTATCCCACATCCCACCTCCCGATATCAGAAGTACGACAACATAGCCCGGGGCAGAGCGGAAACTTTTATTGAACCGCGTGCGGAACGTACGGGCCAGCGTATTCGCTATCGATCTCCCTCGCGTACGTCTCGCGCGTGCATCATCGTTCGGCACGGCATCGTATCTCTGCGCAAAGAACGCATTATTAAATCCCGACCCTTTGTTTCGCCGCCGCCGCCGCGCTTACATTTCTCCGACCGTATTCGCGGAATCGCATCGCGCGCGGCGCGACCAGAATGAAATTTTTCGCTTTAAAACGTTACCTGCCCGGCGGCAGCGGCGGCGGCGGCGGCGGCAGATACCTGTACTCAGCCGATTACAAAGGAATCAACGGCGAACAATTGGATTTCTCTGGCCGAGCAGCGCCGCATTCCCGAGGGCGAAGTTCACGGGCGCATCCAGAAATTCGATTGCCGCATGAAGGAGCAGCGCAGGCGGAGGACGGTATTGCGGCTTTTGCCGCGGCGCATTGTTCGGCAATAGGTACTCTGCGCAACTGTGTGTCACACGCGCTCGATAGTTTATGCGTAACGTCGATAAAATTTTTCTACGATTTACGAAAGTTGCCTCGCGCCTTTCACCAAATTCGTAACAATTCGTCTCGGACACAGACAGAATAAAAAGAATAAGACGGCAAAATATCGATTATTATATAATATTTATATCGTTGATTTAAAAAATTAACTGTGCTTTAATTACTTTATTAAAAGATGTATCAAATATTTGAAAATAAGGAAAATTTCGCCAAACTTGATCATCCTCGTATTTAGAGCAGTATTAAATAAAGCTTTATCTACGTTGAGTATATTATTGGTTTGGTACAAAGTCCAATGCAAAATTACATTAGCTGCAGCAAGTTGCATCGCAGGTCGCCGCCGGCATTGCGAAACACTAATTGCCACGCGTTTCGAATCGTGGTAAGGTTGTTGATGAGCGGCGCGGCGTGTTACGCCGCCCCCTTCCCTCATTATTATAACAATTGATTTGGAGCTTTTGGTCTGTGTAATATTCGACGTCACGCCCGCCGATGCTCGATGACCGTCGCGATCGCGCCGAACGGAAACGCAGTTTCGATCTCGATTTTTGCCCAGCCTCCAGGGACGAATAATCTCTCAGTTGCAGGACATTAAAAGCCAACGCGGCAGTGTGTTGCGACGATCGGCGATGGACCCCGCGGCACACGAATAGCTCCCTGGTGGCCCCGTTAGAACTGTATTCATTCCCTAGGAAGTGAGATTGCGCGGAAACCCCAACGGGCGAGCGGGCATTTCGACCCCGCGTGTAATTTCGTCATTTGGGGGTAGACTTTACGAAATGGCACTTTTTCCTCCGCGCGGTTACGTTCAATTCGGCGTGATAAACGGGAAGCGCGTCGTCAAGTTAGCGTTTCTAGGGATACAGGAAGAATTAAGTCAAACAAGCAATATCACGCTTGGAATTTGTTATTCCACACTTTCTAAAAAAAAATATGACAGAAAAATGCAAGTTTATTTTAATGAATGGAGATGGAGATGTCTACGAAGATATTTTTAGCGCGGTACTTCTTGGCTTATTTAAAGTCTTTCTTATATACGTGCATTATAAACTCCTTGACCGTCGAGGTCGGACCAGGCATCCACAAAATCCGCTGTAAATTTCGTTGCTTCGGGTTAATGCAGACCTGACGATACATTTTTGGGATGTCTCCCGTCAATACGAACTGATGCTGGCGGAAGCGCACGATAATTTCAAACGATTCCTGCTGAATAGTCGGACCGACTCTCATTATATCGTTGAGCGACTTGCCAGAGGTTGTCTCACAAGATGCGTCAAAAACTACTCTCAGTTTCGTTGTCGTGCTCTCATCCTTCATGACCGCATGGTGCGGCAGATAATGCACGGGCTCATCCATCGATTCCGTCACCTCATCGACCTTGGTCATATGTCCTGACCTCAGGTAATCCTTCATGCACTCCGTATATTGTGCCATGCTTTTAAAATCGGATCTCGATCCAATCTCCGACACACCGACTGCAGTCGCTTCATAACGCGGTTGCACGCGACTCTCCCAAGACGCTGGGTTCCTCCCGCAAAGGAAGGTCGACGATGAATCGCCCATCCGCCGCTCGTTTATGTGTATTTCGAAACTGTTCCTCGCATAGATTCTCCTCTCTCGATAAACTCGACTGCAGAGAGCCTTCTTCCACGATCCAAAAGCGCTCCATCTGCTGATACAAATCTGGTTCCTTGACGATCGCACACAACGCCACATTCGACCGATTCGTCCGGTCATCCGGAATGGGCGCATTTCCCGCCACTATCCATCCTAGCTTCGTTTTTTGCAACTCTAATATTCTTCGAATCTGCTTAATTATACCTCCGATATCGGTACAGTGTATATAATAGAAATGGCAAAACGCATCAGTATATTTTATGTTCTTTCTGATGCAGAAATTGTTTTTGGAAAATCATAAAAGATTCTTTCTTATATTCTTCTTCAGATACAAAAGAAA